AGTATTTAAAAAAATTAACACTGTGTAAGAATATATTCCTGAAGTAAAGCAAGACATTTTCTTGATTACATATGTCAGAAATATTGTTCATATATACAACTTCAAGACAAATTCTGGTTAATTTGTTAAATACAAAGATTCTTTTTAAATGAAGTTTACAAGTATCACGACTGAAAAAACAACTCTACTGTAAAACAAGAGCAATAACAAAAATCAGGCTGGCCTCAGACTTATCCATAATGAAGTTTGATGAAACAAGACCATAAAGGTATGTCCGCAAGTTTCTGAAAGAGGAAAAAAATGTGTTCATATGAAAAGGTAACAGGCAGACATTCTCAAAACTTCAGAGAATTCTGGAACTATACATTCCTGAGTATTATTGACAAACTACTCCACTAGAAAATCCAAGAAACAAAGAGATGAATGAAAAAAGAAACAGCTGAGTTAATGCAGGTGTTTAAAGTTAAGATGTTTTTTGATTTCTCTAACTTATCTCTCAGATCCCTATTTGTTCTAAGGGACAGAAAATATAAAGTTGCCAATGTAATTTAGTATGATCGTTTTGGGTTTCAATGTTTCAATTTTCAGTTGAACTCAAGATTCCCTCTTTTGCTGCTTCCCAGGGATACTTTGTGTGTATGTATGCATGCATCTATGTGCAGGTCCATGGCGAGGGAGGGTGGTTAGATAGTATCCTAGCATCCGAGGAAGAATGAGACCTTTGTTAGCATCTTGCCCTTTGCCTTTGCTGGCCTCAGCTAATAAGTCATTTGCCCCCTCTGGTTCTCAACACAACTCACTGGCACCCACTGCCAATATCCTTGGTCCTGACTCGGCCTTTTGGTTATGAGGCCCATAACCATTGAATCTTCCTCATACCAACCAATACCAGCTCTTTTTTTGTCTACGACCCTCTCTAAGACTTCCTTACCTCCTTCAGGGTTTAGGAAACTCCTGCCTATTTTCTGCACATCACAGTGGAGTGTGAGGGCGTTAAAGTTACTCAAAGAACCACTTCCTTGGATGCCATGCTGTATAGTACACATTCTCTACAAGGCTTTCCATTCCCATCCTACTACTTGATAAGAGTTAGCTAAAATGTATGAGAGGAATTCAAAAAGTTCATTGGAAAATGGAATTTAAACATAAAAATAAAAAATATATTGCAAGGGTACATGTCTGCTCTATTAAGTACAGAGTATAAATGTCTTAACACTATAATTAAGTAAATGAGGTGAGGGATATATTGGCTCTGGTCTGCTTTTGCTTTAACTGAACCACTCCTACCTCTTGGTATCCACTGCTTTGATTGTGCTTTGTCTTCATGATCATACTGGTAAAGCCACGTTTCTTCTCCAGTTAAAATTCTTAGAAAAATGCCTTTGGATTTTGATCTCACTTGTTTAAAATTTTCATGGAAATCTCTGCTTTTGTCTGTCATTGATCTGGGCACAATTTTGGCACCTATCAAGTTTGCAGAACTTTAATTTTTCAGTCAGAATTATGTAAGCTGAACCAGCTGAGATGTCTATGATGTTGGCTATTAATCATAAATCTTCTTCAATTAGGGCTCAAACAAGACTCTTTTTTTTTTTTTTTTGATGTGATTGGTCTGCTGATGTGGGCTTCATCTTCAACCTTGTCTCAACCCTTCTTAAAGTGAGTTTCTAATTGTAAACTGCTGGATTTCTTTGAGGGCATTGTCCTCATAAACTTTTTATAAAGCATTCATGATTTCACCATTTTCCACTCCAGCTTCACTATAAATTTGATGTTTGTTCTTACTTCAACTTTAGCAGAATTGATGTTGCTCTAATAGGGCTCTTTTCAAATGAATGTCTTACCCTCCTAGTGTCTCATTCTAGATCCTATTCAAACATGTTAAAAACAAGTTAGTAAAAGGTAATTTGGATGCCAAAAAATGTTTGAAACCAATGCATACTTATTTCATAATCCAATTTCCACCAACTTTTTGCAGACCCCTCATATGAGTTTATACATACTACATATAGAATTTCTCTCATAGCATCATCCCTCCCAAGACTCTGCCCAAAATGGCAGAATCCTAGGTTTGAACTGAGTAATCCACAAAGTCTAAATCTTAGTTACCACATGCCCAATATTGCCCCTTCTCCTAACTGCTTAAAATATTTTCTCCTTTGGGGAAGGAAAATGGCTCTATGGTATCATAAATTCTTTGTCATTCTATGGTTGATGTTTTAAATTCTACAATATAGTCTAAATCCTTGCAGGTTTGGCTTTTGATATTTAAATTCAAGCATTAAGAACTCAAGAATACTTTCTTTTTTCTTCCAAGAGTCTGGCCCTTGACAATGAAAACCATAGCCTTCAAATCTGTGATATGCTAGTTTTACAAAAGTAAATTTGGGAGGTCAAAACACAAAGTTTGACTGTTTTTCTCTCTGAGTCCTCCCAAACCTGAGGCTGTATATAATGAAAGCTCATCCTGAGATTCAATTATGAGAGGAATGGCAGAGATAAAGGAAGTTTATTTTAAAAATTAAATATCATTTAAAATATCAAAAATTAATATCAAAAATTGGTCCAATAGATAAATATGGAGCTCAGGAATGAAAAAACAATGGGCAAAAATTAGGCAAAAAACAATGGTCCTAAAATTAGGACTGAACAAGGGAATAAGGATTAGTTGTGTTTTCTATATTGCTTAAGTGTTTACTATACTAAAGATCTAATTATATTAAAGCAACAAAATCCTGAAATTATAATATTTATCACATAGTTCGGAAAACCTTTCCTGATTACCTTTATACATAATTAGGGCTAGGTGACATCCTCCTTGCTCTCACTGTAATGAGAGCCATATCATAGCAGTCCTCATATGTTTACCTTCTATTTTGTCCATTGTAAGCAAATCTAGGACATGGTATTGATGGCCTTAGTATTTAGTACCACATCTAGCACATTATAAATGTTTAATATGTGTATTTCAATGAATACATGAATGCTTGAAATAATCCTAGGTATGTACTCAACAAAAAAATGCAGCAAAAGTAATGTACAAGAATATTCAAAGTGATATTATTTATTAGCTGGATACAAGCTAAATGTTTACCAAAATGGATAATTTGTGATAAGAATTAACTACTGCTATAAATAACATAGATGAATCTCACAAACATAAGGATGAGTGTGGAATTAAACAAGTATAAGAGAGTATATACTTTATGATTTTATAGATAAAATTCAAAAATAAGAAAAAGTATTCAGAGCAACAATAAAATTGGCATTTGCATTTGGAGATGGGGTAATTTGGGTGCTTTAGGAGTTCTATTTTGTGATGCAGGCAGTAATTGCATGGGTGTATTCACTTTTTAAAACTTAATTGAGCTGTATACTCATGATTTATGTGTTTTGTGCAAATATTATACTTCAGTAGAATTGATAACTGAAAATGTGGGAAGATACTAGACTGAATGGGGGCTATTTAGAAAAACAAGTTGATACAGAGGAATTAGGATAAAATTGTACCAAATATGGACCCATCATTTTCAGACTGTAGTAATGAGAGGACATTGCCAGGTTAGAGACTGTGGAATAGTCTCCAAACTGCTTTTCAGTCATCCCTTGGTACTCCACTGCCAGTATTCCTGAATCACCTCAAAACCTTCCATTGTTTCTAGAGAATGCAGTTCTTTCTAAACCTAGGAAACAAAGTCCAATTTCCTTGGCTTTACATCCAGATCCTCTCAACTCTGCTGCTGTTCCCTTCCCTGAGCCCTCATCTGCACCTCTAACTGATGTCCTTGTATACTGTCTCTAGAGCATAGCACATAGTCTCCTGACTCCAGGTCCTTGCCTGTGTTGCCCCCCTTACTTGGAAGGATACCATCCTCCCAATAAGTCTTATTTTTGCTTCCAGGGCCATGTCAGTCTTCCTTTTAGAGTACCACCCTCCCTAACTGCCAAAGATCTCAGAACCTTAATGTTCCTAACTCAGGAATGATTGTTTGTACCACTCAGTAACACTTAGCCAATCTGATTCTTCGGTTGACCTTTTTGTTCCTTTCCATTTTCTCATTCCTCCCTCTCTTCCTCGCTTCCTTCCTTTTTTCCTTCCTTTCTTTCCTTTTCATTTCTCCATAGGCTTGCTGGCATATTTATGTACCTATTCTGTCTTCTAACTGGGAGTCCAAGTTCTTCCAACACAAATACAATATTTTACTTTTCTCTCAGTCTTTAGTATCTGGCACATAGTAGATTCTTAACAAATTTTTATTGATGACAATTTTTCCTAAAATAAAAGACATATTAAAGAGCAAATTACATGCAAGAACATACACTTGCCTATTTTTAAGCCTGAGCTATTTCAGTTAAATCACTGGACTTCAATCTTTTCAAATCTGTAGTGATATCATTAAAAAAAAATTAGGGTATATCTGTAATATATGTACACTTACTAACAAATTTTATGAATGTGTTACTCTAAAAGTACATTAGACATGAAAAATATATGAAAATTTAGAAAACAGAAAATTTCAGAAGAAAAATAACCTATATGAAAGAAAGAATTTCTAATTATCTTCCTCACAGTGGTGGTTGCACACACTTAGGACTAAAGCTCATTATTAATGATAAATCCATACATCACAAAGCCACACTGAAAGTCTTCACATGTTTTTGGTCAGCTTTGGTGTTGATCTTGTGTTGTGGATTATTAAGATATTTAAAAACTGAGGCCACAGATAAGTTTCATTCCATGGCTGGTTAGGGACAAGGCCACACAGCAGAAAGTGCGTGGTGGGTGAGTGCATGAAACTTCATCTGTATTTACAGCCGCTCCTCACTTACATCATTGCCTGAGTTTGACCTCCTGCCAGATCCCTGCTCCCCACCACCACTATCCATGGAAAAATTGTCTTCAATGAAACTAGTCCCTGGTGCCAAAAAGGTTGGGGACTGCTGCTGTAAAAGACTAGAAATATCGTTCTATCTTCTACTAGTTGTTTTTCTTATGTTTGCATTACTGGCCTCATCTTCTACCTGCATTTTCTTTCTAGAATATTTTTAAGCCATTTGTTTCCTGGTAAGAGTTAGTTCTGTTCAAACTAGCTAATGGAATAGTAAATAAACTGAGCTCTTACTATTTCTTTAGAATCACATGCCTAAGGTGCCAGCCACATACACTTAAGGTGGCGGGTTCAAATTCACCCCGGCCCACTAAAACAACAATGATGGCTGCAACCAAAAAAAAGAAAAAAGAAAAAAAAAGCCAGGCATTGTGGCAGGCGCTTGTGGTCCCAGCTACTTGGGAGGCAGAGGCAGGAGACTTGCTTGAGCCCAGGAATTGGAGGTTGCTGTGAGCTGTGATGCCACAGCACCCTACTCAGGGGGACAGCTTGTGACTCTGTCTCAAAAAAAAAAAAAAAAAGAATCACATGCCTATCACAGAAAACCCGTGCCAAGGTCAATCCACGTGTGAAATACATGATATCGATCCAAGTAGGAATACTGTGGCACAGGTGCTGTTAATGCGCATATAACACATGGGCCAAGAGTAATTTCTCTCCCATGTTTATATGAGAAATAAATGCTAACATTTTCTTCTATACCCCTTCTGTTTTTTCTTGCGCCCTTCAGTTTGAAAACAGTCATACTGCTTTCTTCATAGAAAGAGGGTTGCATCCATTCTTCTAATTATCTAACTGTAGAATTTCTGAACAGTAGAGGCATGGCTAAACCTCCTGGCACTTCAGAATAGACACCAAGCTAATGCTATTAACTATTACCTGTATCACTAGGTTTCTTTCTACTTGACTTTCTTGCTGCAATTTCCTGTTAGTCAGTTTCTACCTATATTTGTTGAAGTTACCATTACTTAGTGAGAATTGTTCTAAAAATTTATATGAAAAATCTGTGCTATGTAGTTCAACACTGCTGTCGCCTCTGAAGAAACATTGTGCCAACTCCTCAGGTTTAATTTTTTCTTTGTGGTACTTGTGCTTTTTGCCCCTGTATATAAGTTAAAAGCATTCCAATATTTTGGGTTTTTTCTCTATAATTGGATGTTTCAGATATAGCGGTCAATTGACCGGATATCAGAAGCCATGTGGTTTATGTTAGAGTCTCAAGACATATGTTAATATGAACCGAAAGCTGAGCGATTGGCATCAGAGAGTAAAGAGTGAAGTATTCAAGGACTGGGCGCCTTTGCATCCCACTGCTGCCTCTTTGTAACCACGTGTTCCAGGGCAAATTACTTTCAGCTTTAATGTCCATGTTTATGATAATACCTACTTCTCAGGGTTGTCATGGGAAATATATAAGATAATGTATGTAAAGAACCTGGCATATGCCAGATGCTTAATAAATGGTACCCATTAGTACTATTATTATCATTTCTATTATTAAACTCCCCGCAGGGATGAGGAAGATTGTCCCTTGCTTTTTCACCTAGCTTACTTAATGGAGCTCCATACTGTACCATCTACTTTTCCCTCCTTTGCAAATAGAGTGTTCTGTATACTATGAATTTGCGCTCAAATCAGATGGGTAATTTTTTTTTTTCACTATTTTGCAGGTTCATTTTTACAGGGAGCAGAGAAGGCCATCTCCCTGGTTCAAGGTGGAAGGAGTGAATATGCAGCAGCTTTGGCATGGGAGAAAGGGAGCTCTGGTCCAGAGGAGAAGGTATTTTCTGAGTGGTTAGAATCAGTGAAGGAAAATCCTGCTGTGATTGACTTTGAGGTAAGATTTAACAGTATTCTTGGGTAAGAGAGTTAAAGTAGTTCTCCAGCAGCCCGAATTGCACATTACATAATTTCTTTTTCATTTGCTGCTCAGACAATAAAGGAAGTGTCTTTCTTTAGTATTCACGCACAATGTACCTTTTTCTAAATGTTAAATTGCACATTCAGAGCTTTTGCTATTCAAACAAGCAGTCCATAGCACGATATTTAGAATTGCTAGCATACATGAAATATCAGACAAGGGAATATAGTGAATAAAACTGCTCAATCTTCCTGGAAGATAGTGCTCTTCATCTTCCCATGTGTACAATAAATTTGGATTCTATGTTTTCCTTACAACTCTTTATTTGATGAGCACCCTTAAATCTTCATTTGTAGCTCTTTGGTAAATGGGATTTTAGACCTATTTGACATCTTTTTTTTTTCACCATTGGTTCAATTTACCCATTTTGTATTAGATGTGCTTACATAAAAAGGTGGTTTTTATTCTTTATGGAATACTTTGCCTACTTATCACTCATATGCCATTTAGAATCAGTTTCACCTAAAACATACTCATATTTTTCAAAAGGCCTCCAAAGAAGTTATTGTATTCATTTATCTTAAATGAAGATAAAGGAGTCTAATCATTATAAAATGGGATTGTTTACATGCAGCCTGAAGATGCATTGAGCTCTACAGGTTATGGCAGAAAAATGAGACCCTCTGGCCACCTGTGAGTTACACATTGCACTAGATGGTTATTTATTTGAGGTTTTACAATGTTAATAAAATGAGCCCTGATTTATCATTAGGTCCATTATTTGCTACTGTGATTCTTCCATTTATCCTACCAACACGTTGATTTCTCCATTTCCCACCCGCCACTCCACATTTTCTCATCTGTCTCCATCAAAAGTCAAAAATGTCCCTGCAAAAATAAAGAACATGGAAAAACTCCCCTCATCCTCTCTAGATTTTTTTTCTCCTTGAATCAAACTTAATGAGGTTTCAGCAGAGCATTAATGAGCTGCCCAAGGTTTATTCACCCGTCTCAGTACTTTGATGTATGCATTTGATGCATAATAATCTAAGTAGAAGATGCCCCACAGTAGAATAACATGCAGGTGAGTTCTAGATATCCTACACCTAACCTCAGGTAGAGGACTTTACTGTTTCAACACGCAGCTATACTGTATCCTGCAGTAATCCCTTGAGTTGTGGAATTTTTCCAGACCTTTTCTCTCATTCCATGAGAATTGGGAAGTGATGGCAACATATTGCCCAAGGGAATGTAACTGGATGTCCTCTCTCCCCTCTGCTCTTAGCTTGCTCCCATTGTGGATTTGGTAAGAAACATCCCCTGTGCAGTGACAAAGCGGAGCAACCTTAGGAAAGCTTTTCGGGAATATGCAGCCAAGTTTGACCCTTGCCAGTGTGCTCCGTGCCCTAATAATGGCCGTCCCGCACTCTCAGGGACCGAATGTCTCTGTGTGTGCCAAAGTGGCACCTACGGAGAGAACTGTGAGAGAAGGTCTCCGGATTATAAATCTGGTAAGTGTCAGTGATCTACTATGAAGTAGGTGCCTTTTCCCCTCCAAAGGATACTGAACCTCCAGTTCAGTCAAACAAAACAAAATTTCCATTAGCAAGTTCAACCTAGCACAAACTCACAAGGAAAGTAAGCCTGCAAAACGTAAGCCACCTGCTACATGGCCTTGGGAAAGTCATACGACTTCCCTGTACCTCAATCTGTTCACCAACAAAATGGGAATAATACTAGTATCTACCCAGCACAGTATCTGTCACATAAAATCAATAAAATAAAATGAGATGTGCTATAAAATAAACCTATGACTCTATTATTATAAGCCTCTTATGTATTATAAAATAGAATGAAGATGGCTTTGTAATAAGGGGTAAATTAAGTTACAACCAATGTTTTCATCCAGGACTAAGTACTGTGCATAGTTTCCTCAAATCCTCCTTAGAGAGAAGATGAAGGATGGGTGTGAGAATACATTCCACTTCCTTTCAAAAGGCAATTTGAGATATATTCATAAGATCTTTAGATTTACACACATACAAATGTTTGTATGGTTGAAGATCCATAATGGTTACCATTTAATTCAGGCTATAAAAACAAGAAAGGAAAATCAGGCCCCCTCCACAGGTAATTTTTTTTAATCCTCACAATCATCCTATCATATTCCACAGAGGTCACACAGCTAAAAACTGAGAACAGTTTGGCTAGGCTCCAAAGCCCAAATTCTCTCAGCTGCACCATAATCCACGGGTGGGTCTCCCTCTGCTCCAGATGCAGTAGATGGAAACTGGGGGTGCTGGTCTTCCTGGAGCACCTGTGACACCACTTACAAGAGATGGAGGACCCGAGAATGCAATAACCCTGCCCCCCAGCGAGGAGGGAAACCCTGTGCTGGGGAGAAGAGGCAAGAAGAGGATTGTACATTTTCCATCATGGAGAGCAAGTAAGTCTGGGGAAGAAGGAAGAACAGTCACTTCCCCACAAACATAGACAGTTCAGTAGTCACCATCCTACTGCTAAGTAAAGAAATAAATGGAGTTTTACTTGTGCCTGCACATGGTGTCTGTGAGGCATTGGGTCTGCTGGCTTTGCCTTTCTCTGTAACATTCTCTCTACTGAATATGTGTGTATGTGTAATGCGTACGTAGGCACACACCTGTCTATGCATACACAAGTAAATACACATATGTATTTATATATGCACATGCACACACATTTATGTTTCCCTTTTAGTGGACAACCGTGTGTCAGTGATGATGAAGAAGTGAAAGAGGTAGATCTTCCTGAGATAGAAGCAGATTCAGGGTGTCTTCCACCAGTTCCTCCAGAAAATGGGTTTCTCTGGGTAAGCATCCTGACTTTCCCTTTTGGTTTAGATTCTAAAAAAAGGGAAAACTTGGAAAGTATGAATTTTATTTTAATCAGAGTTACTATTTTTCTATTTTAATAATCTATTGACTTCAAAATTACAAAATAGTACTGAGAAACGCTTTGTCATTCTTCCACCTTGAATTCCCTGGAGATGTCTTTATCCCTGACTGTCCCAGACCAAGAAATAGCAGATTGACTGTGTTCCTTAGGACTACCTAGTCCGTGTGATAATGGTACATTTATGTAGAAAGAAAAGGGAACTTCAGCATAATGTAGGTTTGGATGACTTGTAAGAATCTTCACATAAGATCTGGCTGTTTATTTCTGATTTTAAGCGAGCTGGTGCCCTTCATCTAAGGCATGTTTTCAGAGAGACAAACTGACCTGGTTATAACCATAGAAAGTACTCAGTCTATATTGTCTTAAGAGATTAGAAACATATAGAACTCTTAAGCAGTCAAACACGTTTAATGTACCTTTTAATTTCATCTTTTTTCATTAAACTACAATATGTTTTTTTTAAAACAATGAATACATCTTGTCAGACAGGTCTCTGGCTGTAGATATAAATTTTTCAGGAGATTTGTAATATCTAAAATTGATTACAGAAACTCAATAATATCTTTAAATTACTTTTCCCAACTGTGTCATATTTATTATCAAAGATCAATAACACTCACTTCTCCAAGGCCAGCAAATAAATATTCCTGGAGCACTCTCTGGGCTAATGTGTAATACCTTCCCTGTTCACTTCTCTTCTGCCCTTGTATATGGCTTCTTGCGAAAGGGTTTAAGGGGAAAAAATAGATGGGAAGAAGTAATTTTAGTCGTTGCTCTGAAACAAAGGTTTTAGAGACTCAGAAGTGCATTGGAAGGCTTGTTAAAACACGGATGGCTAAGTCCCACTTCCAGAGTTTCTGATTTGCTAGATCTTAAGCAGGGCCCCCAAATTTCCGTATCTAACAAGTTCTGGGTGATACTGATGCTGCTGGATCAGGAGTAACAGTTTGGGATCTTATTCTTTAAAATAAGAGTCAGCTAACTATGGCTTAAAGGCCTAATCTGTAGTGCCAATTTTTTTTAAATAAAGTTTTATTGGAACATAGCCACATGTATTTGTTTATATGCATGTATAATGTCTATAGCTACTTTCATACAACAATGGAAAAGATGGGCATCTAGAAGCCGAAGTTGAGAAGACTCCAGGACTAAGTAGATAAAGAAATGAAGGATTAGAAAGAAACCAGATGCCCCTGAGGTGTTACACAGTATTGTTTCTATAGCCCTGATAATTTACTGGTTCCTGTTTTAATTTTAGAATGAAAAGAAACTATACACGGTTGGGGAAGAAGTTGAAATTTCATGCCTGACAGGGTTCAAAGCTGTTGGATACCAGTACTTCAGATGCTTACCGGACAGTACCTGGAGGCGAGGGGATGTGGAATGCCAACGTGAGAACCGGGCAGACATGTTGTGGGACTGCACTAACGGCCATGCTTAATATATAAACACTGCAAAATGACACCCTTAGCCCAGTACATTTTACTACCTTTTAGAAACTGACAAAATGATGTAGTGAAGCAGAAAATAGGGCTCATTTGCTAAAATTAGATTTCCAAGCACCTCCACATTTTGGTTGTCTTGCCCCTGTATATTAACCATATACTCACAGGACTGGAAAGCATGCATTTCAAAAAATAAAAAATCCAGGAAGTCTACAGGCTGCATCTAAATACAGACATCTGTATTGCCTGATGTACAGATTAATACAAATTGTTGAGTCCCAGAAAGATGATATTTACATTGTTCATGTATCAGAAATGGGATTTGGGGTGAGATGAAATTTTCTCCCAGGCACTGATCCTTGGAGCATGTTCACATCATTTGCTGAGAAAAGGTAAATAAGCTTGTAGGCTCTGCACACATCTATGCTATAGTAAAGTAAAAAATGAGATGCAAACTAGGTTCCAATGGGAACCCCAAAGACATACTATAGGACATCATGAAGCAGAGTTGACACCAGTGTCAATTAGAATTCTTGCCTCTGTGTCACTAGCAATATGGTAATTTGAATTTGAGGAAACTCACTAGGGAGAAGAAGAAAGAAAATATTTCTTGAAAGGAATATGTCCTTAAGCTGTAATGAAAGTTGGATGTGTCTAAGGCCAGTTCCTTAGCAAGAGGACCTCAGATAACAAACTAAAGAGATTTTTTTGGTGGAGGAATCTCTGAGGAGAAACCTGGGATCCTTTACCCCCAGGTTTTCTGATAAAAAGAAGGCACCAAAGTTGAACAAATGGAGAGTATCTCACTAAAATAGCCTCTTGGGTTGCATAGAATCTGGCTAGGTCTGTGGAGTGTTCTGTTCTACCAAGCACATCTGAAATAGTGTTCTCCCTGCAGGGACAGAATGCCTCGTGCCAGCTGTGCCAGAAGTCCTGACGCTCACACCATTTCAGAGATTATATAAAATTGGTGAATCTATTCAGCTAACCTGTCCCAAAGGCTTTGCTGTTGCTGGGCCATCCAGGTACACATGCAGCGGGACTTCCTGGACACCGCCCATTTCAAGCTCACTCACTTGTGAAAAAGGTGAGTAGTAGCAGCTCAGGATTCAGGGGTCTGATATGTTGGTGCACCCCAAGATCGGTAATATGACATCTATCACTGTGCTGTTTCTTAGGCACAAATGCACAAAGGGGCTAAATTAAACACAAAGTTAGTTAGATGGTCAAGGTCAAACGGAAACTATGCGTCAGCTCTCCTAACGCCGAAGCTCTCTGCCATCCCACCTTCTTTATTCTCTTCTTATATAATGTATGCAGGTAAGGGGGACAGTTAACCTTTTGAATAACTTTAAATAAAACTATTAGTAAAGAGATTTCATGGGAATTGGTGAGGACTTCAGGTTAATATTGTGTTGTCTTGGTTTCACTAGACTTCCATCAATAATAATAAATTATAAATAACTTGTGCATATAAATGGAATATAAAAGAAATATATTTATAGTTTATAAATAATAGAAAAGGAATGAATGTATTTGGAAGCTATTGGCTTCAGAAAGTTAAGATCCTCTGGACACCTTGGGTATCTTCTTCATAAGATTCATGTGTACAGACACACACCCATACACCCAGCATGTGCACACACACACACACACACACACACACACACACGGCTCTGCCCTCGGATGAGAAATTAAAATTGCAATCCAAAGTGAAAAATATGAAATGCTTTATGTCTAGATAAAGGACATTAATATTCTACCTCAGAGACTTTCTCTCTGGTAATACTGCTAGAAAGAGCAATGAGAGGGAGTCACGGAAAGGGAAAGACAATGATCAATAAAACTGGACATTGGGAGGCAAGGAGACCTTCAGGCTGCCCTTTGGCCAGGGAAGCCCTCTCATTCTTTCAACAAAAAAAAAGTTTTGCTTCCTGAAGAAGCGAGATACTACGTGGCTCCAAAGTTACTTTCTTCCCTCTTCTGGGAACACCACACCTCCACCAGCCCTTCAGAAGATGCCCTCACCCTCAGCACCTTAAACACTGTGGTGTCCTCACAGCTGAGGGGCTCCATGCTGAGCAGTGTGGGCTGCTTAGAGTAAGTGGCAGCTTCAGTCTGACACTTATGGGAGGAGTAAACTCCTTGCTTGGGACCACCGACTATTCCAGGTCACTAGTGACAGAGCAGTGCTCTGTTGCCCACTTGAAAGCTAACTCTCCTTAGTCACAAGGAATAGCTTGCTGCTCCTCACTGGCCTAAGTGTGGATTTACTTACACAGGACACAGGGGCATAGCCAAAGAAAGTTCGCCCCATGTCAGTGCAAATCTTAGTAACTGAAGCCTCCCGGAGCTACAGGTCTCCCACGTTCATGAGGAGTCTGAGCCAAGCTTCCCCAGACGGAATGAGGGTCCTAACCAGGGCTAATAGCAGGAAATGGAAATAGCAGGGAAGAAAAAAATGTGAATTTTAAAATCTTTATTATTGCTTTTAACATAAACTACCTTCTCTTATCAAACCTTTTACCTGATAGGCTAAGACCAAGAACTGCGAGCTGAGTCTCCAGTTCTGCCATGTAATTTGTGAGACTATCTAAACACAGCTGCCCATTTCCTGTCCCCACAACTGACTCGCTCACAGAGGCCACTGGATTCTATGGGTGCCTCATTAGATCTCCATCGAGGAGGATGGTTTCATTCATCAGTCTCAGGAAGTGGACATCAACCAGTCTAAAGGTTCTCTAGGTGGGCTTCAGCATCAGCAAAATAGCAAGGCTTCCCATTCTACATTATATATCCCAAGTATCAATCCTCTGTTGTCATCCCCCTCCCTCGTATACATATACACAGATACTCATAGATAGGTGCACACATGTGTGCCTACACACATACATGCATACGTATGTACCTGTGTACTCCTCACCTTTAATTCCTCATCTTTGTTCAAGCAGCATTTCCTTTTAGGTCTTTTCATACTTTTTCTACTTGGGGGTCTCTATGGTATATGGGCTTCTGAAACCATGTTCCCTCTCTTCAAAATATCTGTCTCAGCCTTAATTATACGTCCATTATTGTGATTATCTGATTACTATCTGTTTTCCAGTATCTTTTAGATTCATGAAAAAAGGAACCACTGCTGTTTTTATTTCTTCCTTTCTCTCTCCCTCCCACGCTTCTTCCTTCCTTCCTTTCTTCCTCCTCCCCTTTCCTTCTTTTCCCTTCCTTCCTTTTCCTTTTCCCTTCTTCTTTTCACCATCCTATCTTAATGCCTAGAATATCATGCAGGAATACATAGCCTCATGTAGGAATTGCATTTCTCCACTGGTTCTTCTTATAGAAAAATCTTACTTTCAAGTTACTATCCCCAAATCAACACTGGCACAACTGTCATTGTTAAACATCCAGGTTGCTAAATGTAATGGACCTTGTCTCTGTCCCCCTCTTCTTCACCTCATAGCAACCGCCAAGTGCTGACATCTGCACACATGCTCTTTCCTTAGTTTCCAAGACATAGCATCTTCCTGTTGAGCTCCCACTCTCCGGCTGTTACCCTCCATTTTGCCCAGGCCTGGATTTTAAATATTGGAGTTCCTTGAGGCTCAAATTTGTCCCCTCACCTCAAACTGAACTCTGCTGCTAGGAAATCTCACCCACAACCTTAGTTTCCAAAGATTCCCCTATAGACTAATAAATTTAGATCTTTGGCACAGACTTTAGACATAAACTTCCAAATTCCTATGAATCTATTTTGTTTGGATATATCTTACAGACATCACAAATTCAGCATACACGAAGAGGAATTCTTGATTCATGATTGCTTCCCTTTCTGAAACTAAGCATTTCCTAAAATGTTCTCTTTCAGGTCGGATACCTATATCTACTCTTTTATGCAAACCCGAAACTAAAGAATCATGCTTGAGAGCTCTCATAACTTACCTGCCACATGTAATGTCTCCTACTTTACCTGCTGTTTGTGCCTCAGGTTCATGCACTTCTCTCCATTTCCACCTCTGGCACCTTGTTCTCAATCATCCTTTTACACCTTAACTACCATAATAACCTCACAGTTGTCTACCCAGACCCTCTGGACCACCTTGCCTCTCCAAATCCATCCTCTACACAGAACTCAAAATTATTTTTTTTCGAAACACAGAACTTATTTCTGTCACACTTCCCCCTAGCTTAAAGCCCATCCAAGACTTTCTATTGTTGATGAAATGAAGATAAAAATCCTGCAGATCCCCTAGTGGCCCCGTGCAGCCTACCCTGCACCCACTTCTCTGGCCACATCTGCCTGCTCTTGTTTTTCTGTACTTCAACCCCCTGGATTCTTCCAGGTCCGGGAAAGTCACATGTCTGATCACTTCCTACCTGAGGTTTCCTCTGCTTAGAATACTCTCCCTTTTCTTTCTCTATATATCATTTCTAATGTTTCTAGATACACCAATTTTTATGTGCTTTCTCTTTAATAACGCTAATAATGACAGCAGTTTAATATGTTTATTAGTGTGCTTGATTACTTTCCATTGGCCCCCATAAGATTATATACTCTAGAACATAAGATCCAGTTTATATTTTGCCCAATCCACTATCCCTAGAACCTAACAGAGTTCTGAGAACATCACAAGTGCTCAATAAATATTTGAAAAACAAATTTTAAAAAATGTCAGTGATTCCATTGTCTTTAGCTCTCTAAACATAATGACCATTTTAGGTCAGAAAATGACAGCTTGGGCTGGGTGCAGTGGCTCACACCTATAATTCTAGCACTCTGGGAGGCCAAGGGTGGTAGATTGCTTGAGCTCATGAGTTCAAGACCAGCAGAGCAAGAGTGAGACTCCATCTCTAACAAATAGCAGGCATTGTGGCAGGCACCTGTAGTCCCAGCTCCTCAGGAAGCTGAGAAAAGTGAATCCTTTGAGCCCAGGATTTTGAGGTTGCTGTGGGCTATGACAGCATGAGACTCTACCCAGGGGGACAAAGTGAAACTCTGTCGCAAAGAAAAAAAAAAAAAAAAAAGACAGCTTTTGTGAGTTGTAAATGACCTTTCAAATGGAATGTTTTATGACAAGATTTTAAAGAAGGCAAAATGAATAACTCCAACTCCAGGAGTTAAATAAATAAAGTGTTGAGAATACTTCAACACTACTTCTCCCAAATTTGAGCTTATCACTTGAAATCCATGATATGCACTGTTCTGTTCTTCCCTTTCTTTTGTTTCAGATATTCTGACAAAATTAAAGGGCCATTGTGAGCCAGGACAAAAACAATCAGGATCTGAATGCATTTGTATGTCTCCAGAGGAAGACTGTAGGTAAGTGATACTCCATAAAGTCTGCTTGGAAATCCAGAAAACCAGTCTAGTGTAAACCAATCCAGCTTGATGGAAGAGCTGAGCTTCTGGAAGCACAAATGTGAAAGATGAATTTTTCACATAACTGATACCCCTGTGCTTCTGTTGAATTTCTCTTTCCTCATTGAGTAGCAACTTTCATAATTATCCCTCAGCCCAGTTCCCTAAGTTTGCATGACTTGTTTACTAAGAAACTCTCATTTCAATCACAAAGACTTAATTCTTGCCCATTTAAAAATTTAAAACTCAATTACAGCAGAACCTCTATAGTTGACTCCCTCCCTACATTGACCATCTCCTCATTCAGTTGACCTAATTTTCATAGACCATAGATATGCACCACATGTATTTAATGAAAGTTCCTCATATTGACCACCTCTACACGTTAATCAGTTTGCTGTAGTCCCTTTGGTGGTCAACTCACAGAGGTTCTACTACCTATCAAAGCCTTATCTACCCACTCAAAGTATAGGAGATGGTCATAACTAACCACTTGTACTGAAGAAAGTAGTGTCAGAATGGACCACGCATACACACACACACACACACACACACACCTTTGCCAGTTCATTTTTTCATACTGGGGAAGAGAGCATGGACAGGAAAAATATTTAATAAATATTGATGTGACTGCCATGACCAGATAGCCATCTCCTCTTTGTTAATGTAATTGCTTTTTCTTTCTATAAACAAACCCAAGAGTGTTAAAGCTGCTATCAATTTAAGGGCTAGTTTCAGGCTAATTTAAAAGCAAATCCAACATACCATTTGCTTGAGATAAAATGTGTATCCCTGTCTCACTAAATTAATACATAGCTAGCCAGTCCAGGGCTAATACAGTGATAGCCCAATTTCAGATAGGACTGAATCTTCTTCCCACTCTCTGTCCCGCCATCTTAGTTATTTTATGGTTTAGATTGCTCTTCTGGAGCAGGAAGGAAGGAAGATCTAAAACAGGGCACATTATCTGTTTTGAAGATATCCCAGAAGCCCCAGTACTTGGGGCCATCTCATCAACCTTCTCTGATTTACATAAACATATGTACCTGCAAAGGAGCTTGTGAAATGCCCCCTCTCTGGCTGGAAGCATAACCACTGCAAATAAAATTAGATTAAAGCACCAAAGAGATGAAAGGATAACTGTTGGGGTAGGAAGCCAAAGGAGAAAGCACAGATGTTAATATTCACTTTTAACACTGAATAACTCTCCTGTTCCTCTGTGCTACAGGTGAAAAAATACTTGTGGGACTCATCTATTGTCTTTTTGGAAAATACTGCAGAGTCTATTACTGCATAATTCTGATGAGGTATTCAGCCCAAACATCCCTGTACTCACCTTCCCCAGTATTCCCTGCAGTGGTCCGTCAAGTAGCTACTTGCTGCTGGAGTCCCTATACCCAGCAGATGGCCATCTGGACCCCGCTTATAATATTCACATTGTCCCCTTGACTCACAGGAAATGGCTCTCTTTATCTATGCAATACTAAATCATGAGAATACAGGCTGCCCCCTTAAACTCCTGCTTTAGCCCTGCCATATGTCCCCACCCTCTCCCTATGTACCTCACTTCCTTTTTGATGGGATACAAGTATTTGTGGGACTGGCTGGTCTACTGCTAAATCCTATGAATAATAGTGACCTTTTATTCTCAGCTATAGGCTTTAGTTCCTGGAAACAATTTATACACTGGGGTGCTGATTATTCAATCTGAAGCTGGTATCAGAGAAGCAACTCAAATGTCAAGTAATCAGGGGAATCTCTCCCTCTCATCAAGAGAAGGGCAAGGTCACATGTCACCTCTTGGTGGAAGGATACATACCCTCTGCTCAGACAGATTGAAGAATTACCCAGAGAATGATTTCAAAGCTCATGCCCTTCATCACAATGCAAATACACTTGAAAAACTAAATCATGATTATAAGGCTCTATACAACATATCCTTAATCGCTGTTGGAATTAGTGAGTGTTTTAGAGTTCAGAGGAGGTACAGGCCACCATGGGCGAGGCTGATCAGGGTAAGCCTCTGAGTATAGCCAGAAAACAAGATGGACATAGATGGGCAGAGAGGAGAGACAATAAAATGCTGACAAAGCAGGACACTAATGGCAACAGAAGAAAAATAATCTCATCAGTGTAGATAATGATCAATGCAGTTACCAGGTGATAAAGAAGGACTGAGGAGTTTGGACAGTAATATTAGAAAAGAAAGTTGCTTGGAGTCAAGTTAAAGAAGCTCTTGATTACCCAAATTTAAGAATTCTGTGATTAATGTAAAGGCAATTGGGAATAATGCCAACATCAAGATGAAATATTTGAAAGATCAATCAGAGGCAGCATGTAAGGTGAAATTAAATTAGGTTGGGAAAGGAAATTAAAAACAGGGGGAAGACAACTGGGTGGTGAGTTAACATGTTACACTGGCTACCTACCCTCTTTTTTTCTGGCCTTCATCTTGAAATACTTTTCTTTGATGGGCAGCTATAACTCAGAAGATCTCTGTGTGTTCGATATAGACACCAACCATTACTTCACTTCATCTGCTTGTAAGTTTCTGGCTGAGAAATGTTTAAATAATCAGAAACTCCATTTTCTACATATTGGTTCCTGCCAAGAAGGTCCACCATTAGACTGGGGTCTTGAAAGGACAGAACTTTCATCTAATAGCACAAAGAAAGAATCCTGTGGCTACGACACCTGCTATGACTGGGAGAAGTGTTCAGGTAAGCTCCCGGGTGGCTGCATGCTGGAACTGCTCTTGCATTTATTCATCATTTTTTTCTTAAAAATAAACTTTTCCCAAATCAAAAGTACTTCCTTTTCATTGTAAAAAGTTGTACAAGATGATTTAAACAGAAAGGAAAAATATAACCACCTGCAACAAGAATAAATACTTTAATAATTTGAATATCTATCTTTCCAATTTTTGTACATACATAATTGTTACCACCTTAAGGCTTCAGTGAGAAGAGCCCCTCTCCTGACCCCGAGTTTCAGGTGCCCTTCTTCATCATTAGCCTTGGAATGCCTTCATAGTTGTCTAAGTTTCTCTCTGGTGGTTGGGATCATCTAGGGCTAGCTGTGCTTTCCAGGTAGGACTGGGCTTCACAGGGATGCCAATTGCCGGAGCACCTTCCCTAGATCCTTTCACGTGCCTGGGATGAGCTGAGGCTGGCAATGTTATTCAAACAGGGTACCCTGATCCCAGAAAAATTCCCACGTGGACCCAGCAAAGTTTCTGCCCTGGGAATGCACTCTGATTCTCTATTGCTTCTCCTCCCCACCGTGCATGAGGTCAATCAGATGCCCCAAAGAACCCTGGGACTTATACTTGTTAAGTCATCTTGGGCCCAGAGCTAGACCCTCATTCCCAGAGAGTAGCTTGGTGAGCAGATTGCTCTCCTGGTCAGCAGGGTATGCTTGCTCAGATTGTTTGAGATTAGACTGCCAAGATGGTGTCAACACTCTAATGTGGGATGACTAATTGTTCATATACAGGCACCCTATAAAAAATTTTGCCACAAGGCCTCACGCCCTTCACTTGTGGCCTTGCATATAATTCAAATATTTAAAATAAAATGGAATCCTACTCTACATGCTATTTGATATATTGCTGTTTTTACTATGCTATGAAACTGTTTCCATGTCATCGTATATTATTTTGTCACATAGTTTCAATATCTGCAAAAGTCTATATGAATATTCCCTAATTTACTTAATCATATTCTGCATATTTAAATTTTTCCCCTGTATTTTACTATTATAAAAAATGCTATGATAAATCTATCACAGATAAATCTGTAATCTAAGATAGACCTTAGATTTTTGAATTTCCAAGTAAATACTATTTTTAAATAGAAATTTTTTATTGATGCAATGTATCAACTCACTTTCTGGAAATGTTTTTATAATATTACATTCCGATCTGTAGCACATGATAAAGACTGCCCTCCCAGATCCTCACCACACCTTAGAGTTATGATTCTTTTATAACTGTGCCAATTTAATGCTCAAGACATGGCATTAGATTTCTACCTTCCACAAGTAGATTGATTTGTCACTACAATTGTAAATTTCATAGAAGCAGGAACTTCTCAGCAGTCCTTGTGCTCAAAGATGAAGTTTGACCTTGAAATACCCCAGCTAAGCTTCCTGTACTATGTATTATATGAAGATGGATTGGAGATTAGGATTTAACAAAAGCCAAATAGGACTTTGTGACTTTATTTTCAAAAAAATTATCTTAAATTGGGGCATAAAATATGCGATGGAAACCTTTCCCTGTGCTACATCTAACATTTGCTAACACTACCTCGCTTCTGCAAAAGAAACACAAAAACTATGCTAGTCCCCTTAGCTCCTCTTTTATTTTCTGGCTGAGTATCCTTCAGCTCAGTCCTGGAAAGGGGAGCGGTCTTATTACACAAATCCAGATCCTTCCTGATCCGCTTCAAGCTGATTATCAAGATTCAGCTCCTTTGACAGGCTGCAAAATTGAAAGAGCTGAAAAGTAATAGGCAACATCATTTCTTATTTAAACACAAATCTTTTCTCTGAAAAATGTACTATAAGAATATTGCCATCAAAAATTTATGCAGAAAAGGAAAGAAATGTGGACAGCAGAGAGGATAAAAAATGGTCCCTGATGACACTAGAATAGGATAGGTCAGGCATTTGCGGCTGTTTAGTGTTGGTCCCCATTCTTCCTTATTTATCATGAAGGAAAGGTCTCCATGGAATTCTTCTATTGCAAAGAATTTCTGGTTTTGCTATTTTCCCACAAATTATTCTTTTCAAATCCACCTGAGTGAAAAATAATCAGCAGTTTACAATTTTATCAAAAATATCTGTTACCCGTTTTCTATACATACTTCTAAATCCCCACAGATTCTAGAAATCCAAGTTCTTCTAAAAAGGAATAATAAAAAATATGAATATTTAACTGATACTTCTCAAATCAGTAAAATGCTCAGGGCTCATCAAGCTAACACATGAACATTTCTTAATAAGAGATGTATTTAAGCAATTTAAAATATCTTTTGATCCTGAACACAATCAGAAAATGCAAAGCCTTTTTTTAGAGTGGTCTCCGCCAGCCTTCTTTAATTGGTGAGCACAAGCAGATGTCACAGAGAAGCTTGTTTATCATAGCACCACGAAACAGCATCAGTGTACAACCCATGGCCATGATTCATGAAGAAGGAGAAAGCTAGAAATGCATTTTATATCCAACCCACTAACGACAAGTTGAGATAGTAATTCTGAGATGAATTGAGTGTCACCTAGACTAAACTATGTTCTTGATTATGTTATGCTATTTTTAAAAAATTTTTTAAATTAAATCATAGCTGTGTACCATAATGTATTTATGAGGTACAATGTGCTGCGTGGATGTGCTCTTTTTACTCCTCTCTTCCTTCTCTATCTAAAATAAAATTTTAAAAAGTTTAAAACAACTTCTAAGTAATGTGAAATTCACTTTTCAAAAGACAGAACACCTATAGCTTCCCCAGGGAGCCTATTTTTATGGATATTAAATGTTTTGTCTGAATTTCAAAAATATCCACCAGCAGCCAACAGGAATGGGAAATTATTCAGCAAAGATCTACTTAGCATCCAACATGTGAAAGTCAGCATACAAGGCAAGGTGAGGGCATAGACGTTGTACAGCCTGAAATTGTTCATTGTCGTTGGAGGAGCACCATTACAACAGTAATTGCATGAATCACTTTAATGCCAGGCAGAATGTGGTGAGAGCTGTAAGAGAGACCAAGTACCTTTTAGAAGGGCTTCATAAACATGCAAGAGTGAGAAGCGAGTGTTGAAGCATGAACTAGTAGTAAAAGGCTTTTGGTGGTGACAGTCTGAAAATAATCAGGCTAACAGCAGTTAAGCCATAACCTGCTAAAAGAGCAGTGACTGTGGCCTTTCCAAAACCCTAGGGAACTGATTTCCTCAGCAGAAATGAACAAGAACTAGAATCTTCTCTAGATGATTGACAGAGAACAAAGGAAGGAAATGCATGCTTTTTCATGAAATGTTTCCCACAAAAGGAAAAATGCCTATTCATGTGGGTGCATACGAGTATCTCCCTGCGTACCCTCCCTATTTGTTCCCATCAGAGAGACATGTAAGAACTAACGTGTGCTTAAAACATTCATGCCATTCATGCCATCATCACTGATGCTCAGGCTGACTCAGATATTTTTGGTAGCATGATGTATATCCCAGATCCATCAAATATACTTCTTTTTGTATACTTATAGCTGCACCCAAAATTCAGCATTTGAAGTCAATTGATCTAGCATAATTAATTTAGTACCTCCTTAAGAGCTAAGATGGATGAGCCGGTTCCTGCTCTGAAACAAGGCGTTTGTAATTGTCTTGGGGAAAAGACATGAAAAGTTAACTAACCAGAAAGAACAAAAATGTCAGATGTGATACTGACAAATTTACATCACTACAGTGTAAAGAAAAGATCAGAGTAGGGGTAAGGTACTATTAAATGCTTTATGGAAAAGGTTAGACTTGTGGATGTGGGGGAAGAAGTAGGAAAGAGCACACCAGACTTGGCGAAAGGGTACAGCGTGGGGAAATGGACAAAACTTGAAACATCTTTGGAGTCTCGTTTGGGAAACAGGGAGGGGGTAAATCTGTCTGGAATGGAGGAAGCAGAAAAGATAATATTGGAAAGGGAAGTTGAGGGTGTTTTGGATGGAGCGTTTTAGTCCTACTCTGGGAGTCTGGCCCAGCAGAAGAGGGGTGGATGCCCTGTGAGCCTTTAACACTGCTGTTTACCTGTCTCTCGTGTCTTCCTGTTCTCCTGTGGTTGTTTTGAGCAGCCTGTGTGCCGTGGAGTGAGTGACACCCGGCCTCATTCTGTGAGCTGCTGAAATTGTCTTTGACAAGGACTTGAGCACCGCCTTGCCCACCTGAGCACCACCTCACCCATATTCAAAGGCAACTGCATTTGTGTGGGTGTGGAGGCTTGAGTGCTGCCCGACCAATATCTGCAGGCAGCTACATTCGTTGGTCTGTGCTGGCTGGAACACCCTGGCTGCACTGGGGGCATCTGGCTCCTGCCTATGAAATACAGGCAAGCACTCAGTCTCCTTGCTCCCTCCTCAGGCTGGCAGGGATGATGGGCAGGCAGTAACAATGGATCTGACCCCCAGATAGACACAGATTCTGGGTCTAGAGTCTCAAAATGGCTCCAGTCACAGTGTTCAGGGTTCCCAAGCCAGTAGGTCCTGCTGTCTTCTCTCTCTGGGGAATAACACTGCACATCACTAGCCAGTTCTCTAATTCACTCCAGCAGCCTCCTGCAGTGGAGGGACCTTCCCTTAGCTCAGATAGCAATGTCCACAAAAAGTACAGAGCGCCAGGATTCTCTCCTCAGTCCATTGCCCATGTGAGTGCCTTCTCTGCTTGCTCTGATCTCTCAGAACTCTCCTTCACTGGGGGAGCCTCCTGCAGCCTGTCTGTTGGTTCCCAGTGCTCTCTTTTAGACGTCTGATTGACCTGGAGATGAACCTCCTCTCGCCTCTTTTGATTCATGAGAACAGCATACAAGAGATCCCTCTCTAAATGATTATAATATTCTAGAAGTTAACAAATAAATGTGACAAAAAGTTACCCCAAAGAGGTCAGGTTTGTGAGCCATGTATTATTTAAAACTTGTCTATAGGCTCAGTGCTCATAGCTCAGTGAGTAGGGCACCAGCCACATACACTGAAGCTGGTGGGTTTGAGTATGGCTGGGACCTGCTAAAATAACAATAACAACCCCAACCAAAAAATAGCCAGGTGCTATGGTGGGCGCCTGTAGTTCCATCTTCTTGGGAGG